ATATCGTTGTAGGCGTATTGCTCTCGGCTGTATGCACTCAACGCATAACATGAGTCTCGAGGTTTTGGCAGGAGTAACACCCCTCCAGAACCGTTTCTGGGAGCTCTCTCTCAGAATACTAATCAAATGCAAAGTGACAAACACACTTATAATTGCAAATTTTGAAGAAATTTTTGAGCTGAACAAACAATTTCGATTTATGAGAATCTACCACCACTACATATCCTCGGATATGTGTCTTGCTTGTTATACTCCAGACCGTGCTCACTTCACCATTAGCAGTTCCTCAATTGAATATGATCTATCCATGAAACAAGTGATTCATGGGATTCCAGATCAACTTCGAACTATTATTATCCCGCGTATTTTTACTGAAAAGTACCAACACGTCAATTGCGTGAAAAGATATTTTACAGACGGGTCACGTCTCAATGGATCCACTAACTTCGGTGTCTTCAATGAAAACTCTAGCACCTTCCGCAAACTTCAGGAACCTTGTTCCGTTTATGTTGCTGAGCTGGCAGCAATCAACTTCGCATTGGGGATGATTTCCAACATGCCCGCAAACTATTATTTAATCTTCTCGGATAGTCTCAGTTCGATTGAGACTATTCGGTCGATGAAACCAAGTAGGCACTCATCTTATTTCCTTTCAAAGGTAAGGCAGCAGATGAGTGTGCTTGTCGAAATATGATTACCTTTGTATGGGTCCCCTCACATTGCTCAATCCCAGGCAATGAGAAGGCGGACTCTCACGCAAAGGTGGGTGCTCAGGAAGGCGAATTTTATGACAGGTAAATTTCACACGATGAATTTTACCATTTAGTGCGTCAGAGTACCCTTTCGAGTTGGCAAACCGATTGGGACACTGGAAATCTTGGACGGTGGTTACATTCAATTATTCCTAATGTTTCTTCGAGAGCGTGGTTTAAAGGCTTGGACTTAAGTGGTGACTTCATTCGCGTGATGAGTAGACTTATATCCAACCACTACTCGCTAGATGCTCATCTCAATAGAATAAACCTCGTGGACAGCAACATCTGTCGGTGTGGAAACGGTTACGATGACATCGATCACGCAGTTTGGCAATGTACGGATAATGACGCCAGAGAACGACTTTTGAATACCCTCGAGGCCCAAGGAAGACAACCCTATATCCCTATCAGAGACGTGTTGGGTACCCGCGATCTCTGCTATATGCAGTCGATTTATGTGTTTCTGCAAATGTCTAGTAAAATAATTTAATTCGTTTGTCTTTTGTATCTCTTTATTAGTTTTTGTTTATCTTGTCCCCCGTCTCGATGAGTCTCATCGTCGCCCACTGGACAACATAGCCGCTCGAACTCCAGACGAATCTAGAACCACACTACCGTTCATACTGGCGACATCGCTCTGATAAGACAACGAAACTCTACTCCCAAGCTCCTCCCCTACAAACAACAATGAATTATCGGCTCCGTAAAGCTAACGCGATTGAGCGTTGCAAATAAATGAACTAGATCAATCATTGTACAAGTATTATTAAGCATACAGTTGAATAAAACCGCCAAGAAGTCGTTCATTCAATAGGCGATTGTTTGTTGGTATGTTTGCCGGTACTATGTTTTGAAGATAATTTTATTCAAAGTGATACGTCTGTTTGTCTGTGGTCGAACTAGGAGGAGTTATTCTAGTGATGCTGACGACGGAAGGGAAAAGGAATGTAATTCCAGACTTCCAGGGAGGTTCAACAGGTCCAACTGAACCTGAGAATAATGAAGTGAATGCGGTCCATGAAGTCCTGAAAGCTGTCAAATTAGACTCTTGAAATGTTGCGTCATGTTCTGAATAAAAACAGACCCGCCTTCTCCAGAGATTGTGTTTCCATGATGATCTGAATAACATGTACCTATCAGTGCCAAACTTGGACTGCGGAAATCGGTCGACAGGAAATTACAGAAGTTTTCAGTCAGCTGAAAATTGCCTGCCTTGGCACCATTAATGCCGTCGTAAAATTAAACGGTTCAGTATCAAACAAAATGGCTTCAGATAAAAGCAATACAGTCTGCAAATTATCTTCGTAAAAGCCGCATTAAAATACGTTGCATTTGTTGGCGATTCCATGAATGCAAAACAACTCTTTCACAATCGAATGTTATGCCACAACCTTCCTTTTTTTTTAATTATAGACCCTTTTTGGTTTATTCGGGTCTTTATTCACTAATTACAACAAATTGGTTTCACTATTTCTTGTTTGTCTTCTTCAATGGCGTTTGGCTCGTTCCCTACGATGCATCATTTCGTCTTGATTCGACGTTAATCCTCCACCACCTTACTTGGGCTAGATCAAAATTATTTATATCATTTTTTTAATATCAGTGGCGCCGATAGTGTGGTCGTAAGCGTGATTACCTCTCACCCCAGCAGGCCTGGGTTCAATCCCAGTTGGCGCCACCGGAATGTTCTGAGGCATAACATCTCTGATCACGCCTTCCTTCGGGGAAGTAAAGCCGTTGGTCCCCGGTTCATGAGTTGATGGGTCGATAGGTATGGTCCAAGTGTGGGAGCTGCCTCCCTGGCGTCGTTAGCATTGGTGCTCAGCACGGAAAACAAGATCGACGGAAAACAAATCAAGAAAAAAAAAATCATATTGGCTTGAGAGCCATCAAAATAAAGTATGCATAATTATCTTCAGGACCAAAACCATAATTTGAACATGAGAGGGTTGACCGACTTATTGATAATTTGTTCAATTTTTATCAAAAGTATAGTTTGTCTCAGAACCTACTCTTTTTTGTTGGCTAGATGTTTTCCCTAACTCGAAGGTAGCTTTTATTGATATTTATATTGTAACACACTAAAAAACTAGCAAGTACATTAAATGTAAGGGTGAATTTCTTACATCCTCTATACATGCTACTTGCGAGAAATGTAATGGCAGTTCTTGCAATTGACTGCAACGTGCAAGCAAATTGTTTTCAAAATTAATGTTTTCGAATAAAACTTCACGAAATAATTTTCTATCCCAGAGGAAACATACTTTGTTCAAAACGCTAGCGAACATAAATTTAACAAAATCATCATCACCACCTCAGATATAACGTCACTATTACACGTACTGCAACAAATTTTAGAACCCATCCTCCCCTCAAGAGTGTAAGTCGTATTTGAATCGTCCCTTACAGAATCTGTGATAGAATTTTATTTTCCCGGTTGGGTTTGGTTTTTATGCATGGTCTACCGTTCCGATTCAAATTTCGGACGATTCAAATTTCGGACACTTTCATTTTTAATTAAATATTACATCCAGTTAGAAACAAAGTAATAATGTTAGATGATCGTGGAGGGCACTAGTCAAAAAAATTTAAAATTTACAAGACATGTGGATCATATTCGACCGAGATAATCAACTTTTAAAAGTGTCCGAAATTCGAGTTTAAGTGTCCGAAATTTGAATCGGCACGGTATTCCGATATTAAAAAAAAATCACTGACCTGAAAAAAAAAAATCGTTAATAATAAACCAAACCATTAACTCAGTTTATCTACAAATTCTAAACAATGAAAAAGCATATTACACATAACAGTCCATAACATCACTTAATCACCGGTCATCAAACCCGAGGAAAACGGCAAATATTACTAAACCCAACATAGCATGAACAAAACCGGTAAAACATTAATCGACAAATAATCGTCCCATCAGAGCAGAACATCCTTGACGTTAGATACCGAACATCCTTCACCGAACGAAAAAAAAAATATCCCACTCGATGATTATCTGCTAACACACAACAATGTCAAATGCTATCCGAAGATCAACTGCCTACGCAGTTTTACAAATCACACCCGAAAATAAAAATTTCAAGCCTAGGGTAAATTTGCCTTTTTTGGACCCTCTAATCTTAAGTGGCCACATGCGGATTAATTACATCGGAAGACACCTTTTCCAACTCATCTGTATTGGATTTATTAAACATAATTGTTGAATACTATTTCATGCTTCGCTTTTAATTGGTGGAGCATTTGTTTTAGATGACATATTGACGAAATATGTAGATGTGTTTTTGCCTGTTTCGTGTTTAATGAAAGCGGAACTCGCATGTTTAATATGATTTTCTTCTAGACGATCCACCGTATATAGGATGTAAACAATCTTATAATAAACCCTGAATGGTCTGTTAAAGGTGTACGATCAACTTTTAGTGCCTGGATTAACCTGGATAAAATCAATTTATTCACTTAATTCACTTATCAGTCGTAAATGCACAACTCATTGAAAAACATTCCTGAAACAACTATTAAAAGGTCCTCAAATTAATGGCCACAGCAACTTCTAGGGGGTCCATAATGGGTCAATTAACCCTAGTAAGATTCATTTGAATTTATCGCATCAAATTCCAACGAACGGTTTCGTTGCAACCGTGAGTGAGGCAATTTCAAAGCATCGACCGAAGGTGGGTAACTTCGATGGGATGCATCTGTGCTAGGCGAGAAACCCGCTGAAGAACAGCAACAACGGCATGTGCTTCTCACTGCGAGCATCTTTCCTCGCCCCATCCTGTGTTGCATACATAAGCCCGCTTCTGAGAGGTGACCATGTCGTCCTTGGCGGTGATGCCGTTTTTGGACCTTCTCTATAAGAGCAACTCTCGATTGGTGCGCAAAAGCGACGACTTTGAGTAACTTTTTCGATGGTTCTTTTTTCTTGTGAAATCATGTGAAACTAATAAATTCAGCTGTAATTTTCGGGAGTTGAGACCCGTTCGCAAATTCATAAAAAAAAAAAAAGACAATGGGCAGCAGCGTTCTGCAAGATAGGAGACGGATTGGATTAATTATTTCCGGGCAGGTGATTAGTTCCCATGACGATTCAAAATGGGAACATTTCGCAAACCCAGCAAAATCAACCGTCAAACATTCACACTTTCTGGGAAATTCCCGTATCGTTGCGCTTCGCATGCTTCCCTCAGCGAGATGAATTAAAAATACAAATCACATAGCGAATATAAAACTAATTACATTTAACGCCGGTGTACTGCTGACCAGGAACTAGCGGCGGCATCGTCACCGCCAGTAGAAGAACAAAGAACACAATCTTCGGATCGAGCCGCTTCATCGTTGACTTGTTGTCAGTCATTTTTAATATATTTTGCAGATTCTTCACCGATAAACAAAAACTTTCACGACACTATTTTTCCGTACTTGTCCTCCACCGATCACGATCCGTTACCTAATGAGGCTTCCAGATGTGAATCACTAAGTAGAATGATCACACTCTCTACAATGTCGCACGCGCGTACACAACCGGAGATCACTAAAATCCCTTCTATCTTCCACGAACAACTACGAGGTGATTTCTCTTCCGACAGCGACGACGTGCAAATACTAACTGAGCAGGTTACAATGTCGAAATCATGTTTTAAAATAAATAAACAAGACAGCGGAGGTTTGCCAAATACCTGGCGACCCGTCAAGAAGAGATCGCGAGAGTTACTCTCCGCGCTGCCGTTGTTGATCACTCTCGTTGATTTGGCTCACTCACCGCCGCCGCCGCCGCCGTGCTCTTTAAGTCGCTGATATCATGCAAAAGGTTCCGACCGGGAAAACTCTCTTCATTATTCTCCGTCGCGGCAGAGAACCGGCTCTCGACGCGGTGATTGTATCACGAATTGCGAGATTTAATTAACAGTAATCGATCATCTGCGATTCCAGCAATGTAATCGGTACTTGTTTGCTTGGAAAACGCACGACTCTAGGTTATAATTATCACTATGGGGCTGAAAGGATGGTGTCACCACAGTTGTATAAACAGGGGTGACAAAGTTCAACATTTCCGTTGGAAATATATGTATAACTTGTCATTCTGGTTAGGAGATTTAAATACCGAATCAGTTCACCTACTGCTACTGGATCCGTCCTTATCCCGAAGGCAAGTAGGAATGTTTTGATTGCATTTGAAATTGATTAAAATTTATCTCAGCCGATCAACGTACACGCATAACAAATGGAATGTGCCAAACAAATAAGCATGATTTTTTACATCCTCTGTAGATACTTCTTACGAGAAATGTAATGGAAGTTCTTACACCAACTTACGGTGAACAATCAACTTTATCCAGTATTTTTTGTACAGAATCTTCATAAGACAACTTTCTAAGTTTAATGAGTTGGCGGGCAAAGGCTACATAAAATTAACTTAGATTACCTTACCAGATTATTTGAAGTCTTCCAACGACCACATTACATCATTTGTTCATAGGGTGTTTCCTTACAGATTCGGATCAGTTATACAAAACTGTAAGAGAATCTTTCATGCATCGGTATGATGTTCACACCACTGTCCCTAGTAGCACGCTTGTCACAAATTAATTGTAGAAACTTATATACGACTTATTTCAGTCATAAACAAGTTGCTGTAACTTATTTTGATGAAAGTGTGCTACTCGGGGTACCAAGTGATTTGTATACCTATAATGTGGAGACTATGTTTTTTTCATGTAAATTGCTTTATTTGTACAGGCTCAATCGAATATTCTTTACAGAGCCAGGTTATAATTTTCTTTATATTTACTGTAACTCCCCCTTGATCTGAACGACAATTCGTGCATATTAACGGGAATTATTTTTAATTTGAACTTCTAGTAACCCTCAGAAAAGCGAGTTATGATAGCCTTCCCAAGTAACCAAAAGTTCCGCATTCAACGATAAAACCCACTTCCAAGTTCCAGAAAGTTCCAATAAAGTTCCGACAGAACCTTCAAGTTCAATAAAGTTCGAATAAAGTTCTGACAGAACTTTCAAGTTCCATTAATTCCGACAGAGTTCCGACAGAACTTTCAAGTTCCATCAAGTTCAAATAAAGTTCCGACAGAACTTTCTTCCCAAGCAACCAAAAGTACCACATTCAACGATAAAACACACTTTCAAGTTCCATAAAGTGCTGGCTACTTTAGAAGCTATAGAAAGCACACGAGGAACTTCAGGCTCCAAAAAGTTCCGATGCGTACCATACGTACTTCAAGTAAAAAAAAAACGTTCCAAAAAGCATCCCTGAGCACTTCTTAGGAACTTCAGGCAAGGCTGAAAACAAAGTTCCTAACAAGTTCCCGACGGAACTTCTTAGCAACTTTAAAGTATCTTAAAAGTTGCCTGCGGAACTTCTTAGTAACTTGAAAGTTCTCTCTAAAAAGGTCCATCATAGCCCACATAAAGCAATCCGCAGAATTCTTTTTAGGAACAAAAATTTATGTACGTAATTATGAAATGATCAGTGGCTAAAATAAATTATAATTCTTATATTTATATAGTGCATACATATTCCATCCAAACATAATAAAAAATAAAGATCAATTTCTTGAATTCGAACCCGCCCAAGTTACCAAAAGTTCTGATAAAAGGCTATTTGTGGCTTAAGCAGCTTGGTTGAAGGTGGTCTATAGAATTCTAAGCAGCCTCATTTTTAAGTCGTTATAAGAACTTGAAAGTTCCGGTACCATAATTGAAGAGCATTCTAAGCAGCTTCTGGTGAAAATTGAACGGAACTTATAGAAAATTAATTAAAAAAGGTTTTGTACTCTACACCAATTTAGTTCACACTTTTATTAATGTTATTTCTAAAGGCAAGTATTAATGTTTATTGATTTACCAGCATTAGTAGTAGAATTTGAGCTGTTTGAAGAATTAAACCCAATCCTTCTTCGTGAGAGCCCCAGAACGAACCGCTACGTCATCTGAGGTATATTAAAGTGAGCTGTTGTCCCGCCTATTGTTGGAGTTTTCAGTGACAGCTGAGTGACTTGAATACGAAACACAACACCTTGATGAATTTTAAATTGGTGTTTGCCCGCTTGGTATTCCAACACACTTGTGGCGCACTGATTAGCAATCGTAGATCGCATGCCGGGCATAGCGGTTCGTGCTGGGGTTCTCACGCAGAAGGACTGGGTTTAATTCTTCAACCAGCTTCATACTCCTACTAATGCTGATAAATCAATACACGTTCATACCTGCCTTTAGAAATAACTTTCAAAAAGACCTGACTTTAGAATTAACTTTCATAAAATTTGCGAACTAAATATAGAATTGGTGTAGAGGACCAAAAACCTTTTCTTTATTATTTTCTAAAAGTTCCGTTCAAGTTCTGCCAGAAGCTGCTTACAATGCTCGTCAATTATGGTAGCGGAACTTTCATAACGACTTAAAAATGAGGCTGATTAGAATTGTATAGACCACCTTCAGCCAAGCTGCTTAAGCCACAAATAGCCTTTTATCAGAACTTTTGGATACTTGGGTTATTTGCTGTTTTGTTTTGATTCGATTTCGCTTTCCTCTATTCCATGCACTAGATGACGTTTGAGCAATTTTGACGTGCAGATTAGCATGACGTGCAGATTAGCGGGCTTCAAACTGAAAAGTGTTCAGATTAAGAAAAATCAGATTACCGGGAGGCCACGGTATATACATAAAATCTTAAAACTGACTTTAAAAACTGTCGCATTAATGGCCCTTCGCTCATTTTCAACTTTTATTCAATTTTCATACTGCCGTACTCTAACGGAACTATCCACCTACCCTCTTCTAAAGATCATTCTCTAGCTAATAAATTATCACACTAATGCTTCATGTTAGCATTTCCAACCAACTCTTAAAACTGGTGTTAAGAGAATTGAGCCTAATACTCGTGGTCGTCGCGAGGCTAGTGGAGATTTACAATCTCATCCATGGGGAGAAGGAAAGGATGATTTGAAATACTATTTACGATACAAATATTCTTCTATTCCTAAAACGATAACTTATTCCTATCCAGCTGTTGACGCTCGATATTGCCGGCCTGTACAGTTATTGAAATGCATCGTACACTGCAGCTTTTGACACTAACTGCAGTTTTCACAATTCACTCCTCCCTTTTCTTCTCCTAGGTTCAGACGGAAATGAAACAAATTGAGAAAGTCAAAAGTGCCAAAAAGTACAGTTAACAATGCGTTATAAAACCCGTTCATGCTGCCATTACCGAGCTTGGAAAGCTGGATGCAACTTTTTCTTGAGAGTAAATAAACGATAAAAATTGTTATATTGGGCTGACCTTGGAGTGTTACAATTGGAATGTATTTTTTATCGACTTGTTACTTGAAATCTATAGCGTTGCTAAGGACTTGCTAACAACTAAAAAAGTCTTCGGTAGCTTTAATTTCGATTACATCAATACCCCCTCTTAATCGGTTAATCCTAGGAGCTTCCGAAAATCATGAAATCTTGTAGTATCCAGCCCTTTGGTGAACATATCTGCTTATTGCTTGTTGCTTGTTTCTTGGGATTGGCTCAATCTTCAGTGTTCTCTGTTGACGTGATCCCTCAGGAAGTGATGCTTGACATCGATGTGTTTCGCCATAGAAATACACCCGTGGTTGTCCTCGAAGATCGCGAAGGACTGATCCGATGCCTTAACCTTTATTTTTTGTTTATTAATTTATTTGATAAGGCTCAACCGAATTAACTTTACAGAGCCGAGGATTCTTGGTCACTATACAAAACATCTTAAAAATATAGTCAAAAGGTGCAACACAATAAACACTTTATCTTCCGCTATCCAAAAAGCCTCCTCCGTCAGAACTGGAGCCGCTTCCAGTAGTTTCATTGTATGGCAAATTGTTGTATGCCAACGAGGGTCAGAGCGCGTCCATTGCAGCAATGGACACAAAACGTGGTCAGCACTCACACACTCATCACGAAACGGTTGCTTTCCAAAGTCGACGACGCATCGACCGAAAGAACTGCTGATGAAGAACAATGAGAAGGACCACACAATGGTTGCTGCCGAAAAAACAGACGATCGCGTGGCACACATCGAGAGTGGCCTGCTTTTGTCGACAGCCGAGTGAACACTGCCTTAACCTTTATGTCCATGATAATTCCTTTCAGTCATATACATTCAGACACAGCCATGCTTAGCGCACCGTATTCAGCTTCACTAGATGGACCGTCTGATGTTTCCTGCTGGCCCACGAAACTGTACTGCCAAAAACTTGAAATACGAATCCAAATACAGATTTCCTGTCTACAGCATCTGAAGCTCAATCCGCGTCGGAATATCCCACCAGAGCAGTTGAATTATCCTTCTTGGTGTATAGGATCTTCACGTCTTTTGTGCCTTTTAAGTAGCGTGCGATTCTCTTCAAAGTTTACCAATGGGAATCTCCTGGATTCTGCTGATATCTACCTAGGTATCCTATCGAGTAGCTGATATCCGGACGAACAAATAGCATTCCCAAGTAACATTTTAAGTTTTATGAAATAATACAAAGTAACTATAAAACAACATTCATAAAACCCTGGTCAAGGCTATTTTGTCATTAATGCATCCACCAAAGCCTCATTAAGACTAGAATAT